CACAACCATTTGGTGGCCTTCTTTGACTGACACACCTGATAGGTATGACACGAACAGCACTTCAAGACCACAAACTCCTGAGCCATCGATGTCTTCGGCGGTTGTGTTGAGTGATCACTGAATGTCTGAAATCAGACGTCAATTGAGAGACAATCCATTGTTTGTGTCATTCAGTCATTCATTTACCGCACATTCCCTTTGAGTCGACGCAACAATGCATTCGTATTCACTCCGAACACAAATAGCGTTACGTTTTTATGTTATTTATTTTCCCTAAAAGTTACGCAACGAGTGTTTAATATTGAGTGCCCTCTCGTTCCCACGTATTGAGCGTAACGTTATTTGTGTTCGATTTAAATGCCATGCTTTCGGTGTGTGTTTTCATTTCACTCAACGTTTGATTCATTTATTTATTGTTTTTACAATTGATTTCAATTATCATCTGATATGCCGTCGAAGAAGCGAAAGGACACGAAGAAGACAACGGATGAGTCGTCGGCGGCAAAGGAGTCGCCGTTTGTTTCGTACGAAAAACTCGTGGAAACGATAGACGTGTTGAAGAAGTGGACGCTTTTGGACGACAAGCAAAAGAGCGATAAGAAAGAGCTGTTCAAAGACACCGCCGATTGTGTGGTCAGTCTTCAGGTGAACTACAAGAAGACACCGTTGAATAAGTCGACGTATATTTTCGCCATCTCTTTGCCCAACCATTGGAGACACGAGTCGTCGGACTTCGAGACCTGTCTTATCGTCAAAGATGTTAACAAAACGCCGTTAAGTGACAGAGATTTGGATCTGAGTATGTCTTCGGAGTTATGATTGGTTTTTCATTTGTTTGACTCATTGTGTGTTTGTATTACAGCCGAGACTAAGAACCACTACCGGGAACTGTTGTCTAAAGACAATTCGGATCAATTGGTGTCAGAAATCCTTCCGATGCGTGAATTGAGGAATGAATACAAGATATTTGAATCGAAAGAAAAGCTGTGCAAAGCATTCAATGTATTTCTATGCGATCGCCGACTATTGCACAATAAGTTTGATTACTTACCCATGTTTTTGGGTAAAAGCTTTTGGATCAACGATAAGAAGGTTCCGCTTCCTATAGACCTGACCTCCACTTCCCTTAAGTCTGTATTGGAGTCGAAGTTAAATCAAACGCATCTCTATTTGTCGGGAAAGGGAGACATGTCTTCAGTTAATATCGGTATTTAAATCACTAATGAATTCACTTTTTGTGTAATTAACCGAAAATTTGTTTTCATAGGTTTACTGAAACAATCGACAGACAAATTGGCCGAAAATCTAATGGCAGTGAATATTCTGTTATTGAAAGAGTTTGGGAATAATATTCGTTCGCTTAGTGTTAAGACCGAGAAATCGATTTCAATCACGTATTTTCTCGATTGCGGTTTCATTTCCGACATTCAAATGGTCCGCAAGTCTGCGGACAATAAACCACTTGAAGACGAATTCTCACATTTTGTGGATTCAAATATTCAAGTGTTTAAAAACGGAAACATTAGAGTTGTTCCCAAACAAGACGTGGATTTGGATAAAAGCGAGAAAATAGATGAAATTGAAAGCAAATGGCTTTCAATGACTCGTAAAAGGGATAATAAAAAGAAGAATAAGAGGAAGAGATTGTCGGCTCATAAGCCAAACAAACGACGAAAGATTGTTAAGAAAAGTGTTGAACAAAAGAGCGATTAATTTGTAACACAAAGTATTTGTTTATATTTTTAATGAATATTAAAAACAATTTTAGAAAAATGTGAATTTTATTTATAACTATTTTATTAAAATGAGTTTACAGTGAATAAAAATATTGTCTGTTTTACTCTTTTTTGTCTCATTTGAGAGCAACAAAACCTCTCAAACGAGTCATACAATTTGTATCAATTATGCGATTTAGTTAATACAGAATATTATTTCTTTTAAACAATACAACAAAGCTTTGTATCGAAAGTTTCAAAACAGATGCAAATAATTAGCAAAGACTGGTCTTTGGATCACCAAATGCTTAACTCATGAGTAACTGGACTCAGGATTTAATGGGAAGTAACGGACTGTTTGTGTCGGTCTATAACTGAGAGGATGTGTTGGGAGTGGAAGTGATTTCACGCATAATTGAAAGTGCCTTTCGGTCACAAAACCAATTCAGTATTAAATACTTAAATTTTAGTAAATTATGTCATTCATTATGTATTGAGTTATGATTTAACTTAATTTCTCGTATTTTGTTTGTCATTTAATTTTTATTAAATAAAAGAATGTATAAATTGATAAAATATATACAATTTAATGAATAATTTAAAATAAACAAAAGGAAAGATTAAAGAAATGATTAAATAAACGATTTTTGATATAATTTTCAAATGAATGCGAATCTACATAAGAGAACAGCACTTCTTGAGCCCATTCCTCCGCCTCACCTCCGGCTGTGTCTCAACAACTGTTTGTGTCTCACAATCGTTAACCTGAAAATCAATTCATAATTATCTTTAAACCATTGATTTAATGTTAAAATACATACAATCGTTGGATCCGTTTGAGTCGCTTTGTCAACACCTGGTTCTTGACGTCCGGTCCACTCAGTGATGGTCTGACATTCTTCTCCAGGACTGGACGGCGCGGGCGATACTGTGGGCGACAATCTCACCAACAAATGGAGTCCGTTTCCGACGCCAATAGTGTGCGCTTTGAGTTTGGTTTGGCTCTCATTCCTCACATATGGACTGAGTTTTGACAGAATATTCAGTAAATCTATTTCTAAAGCATTTATACAATTAGTTTTCAATTAAGAAATTGCATTCAAATGATGTGAGATTTACCACTAGGAGTGGCAGTCATTATCCGATTAGTTTGTGTTCAATACAAATGATATTCAAAGAAATTTGTTTTGGATTAACTGTTAATTCAAAACATTAATCAAAACATAAACGGTTTTATTTAAATCCAATTCTCAGGATTTGAATTAAACATTCCTTTATTACTTATATCTTGTGTTTTCAACAATACTTTTGAAAAATTGTCAAAAATTGTTATTTAAACTAATGTTTTACTGTTTTATAAATTCAATAATTGAGTAAATGGTAACATGTAATTATGTTGTATTTTGATCACATACAGTAATTAATAACTCTGTGTTATGGCCATGGTCTTTTTTCTTTTTATTAATTTAATAAATATTTATGATAAATAAAAAACGAAATTAAAATATTTGTTTAAAAGAGAGATTCTTATAAATAAATGCATAAATTTTGTCTAAAATCCATTTTCAAAACGAAAATATTGCAAAATAATCACAGATATTGTAAACACTTGTTATAATGAAATAACATTTTTCTGGAATTGTTATGAATTGTTAAAACATATCAACAGATCTAATGTTTGAGATGTGTTTAGACATCAATCATGGAAATTGTTTGCGAAAAAGTTTTGCAATCAAATGAATAGACAAAAGTGTTGAATATATTATAAACAATAGATTAGAAAAAGTATGAGAATAGAGCTCACAATCAATGAAAAGCAAGTTTCCATGAAATTCGGGAATTATAATCACTTTTATACTCGAAATATTAATATATATTCCTATAAATCTAATAATATTTATAGTAAACTACTCCATAACCCACTTATTATATATACACAAACACTTAAACATAACTTATAATTTACGATAAGGAATATAATGCCATAAAATTGTAAAACTAATGATAAAACAATATATTAGAGAGTTTGACAATAAATGTGTGATAAATACAACTCTAGTTAAACAATATTCATATATTTATATGTGAAACGTGTTATAAATAATAATTAATAAGCAAAATGTTAATCACAATCACATTAATCGTTGCAATCGTTATATTCTGTTATGCATTACAACGAGAAGAGAATCGAAGGGAAAGTAAGCGAAACAAAAGCGATAGGAATTCGCAGCAAAACGAGTCCGAAGTGGAGGACAACGAGACCAACACTGAAGTGATTGAATTGCGGAAACAATTGCTAGAAAAGGATGAGATTATCAATCGTTTAAGGAATGAGTTGAACGAAAGTCAGTCAAAAATGGACACATATTTGTCGGTCACGAAAACGAGTCAAGAGTTAGTGTTGCGAAACGACGACAGAGTGAAGACAGTGAGCAAACTGTGGGAAGAGAAGAACGAACAGTTGGATCGAGTGGTCCTCTCATTGACCGCACAAGTGGTTCAACTCAAGGCACAGATAGAGAAGGCCGACGACGAACTCAATTCGCATCAACACAAAGCCTATAATGTGTCTCGACTTCTGGCCGACAGCGAGAACCGTGTCTTAGACTTGGAGTCACAGTTGGAACAGTTGTTTGAAGTGGAAGACAAATGCCATCAGAAGTCTCAACGCATTCAACAATTACAGGCAGACATCGAACACATGGAAGAGTTGCGGCGCAAAGACAGCGACAAATACAGACAACTGGTCAAAGAGAAGGACCTCAAGATTGAACAGTTGGAGAACGTGTGCTCTGAACTAAGGATCACAACAGCCGTCACTTCCCTCTGACCTCAAACACCTCGTCGCCAAACACACCGACTCTTAGCACATCTCTGTTGGATGTTATCATCAAATGGTTTGCCACCAAAAACCAGTTATTCTTTGGCGGCTTTGCTTCAAGTATTCATTTAATTTTATTCAAACATTATTTCCAATACCTTTAAGTGTTCTGTCATTTCAAGTGTTGAGTGTTATTAAGAAATCAAATATTAATTTATTAACGATTATTAAAGTAAGTAAAAAAGTACTCTCTAAGTGTGTAAGCGTTTATTTATTCATTTATTTTATCCAAACAATGATTTCATGACATAATAAAGTGAACACAAAATATGGCACAAAGAAAAATATATAAATCAAAACATAAATATATAATTGAATTCCAATTACTGCTGAACATCAAGAATATAAAGTGTTTGCTTCTGCAGGAAGTGCTCAAAGCAATCATGAGTTGTCATGACTTCTCAGCTATGAATCCATTATATCATACAAACAGCCAATTCTTATACACATTTCTCTTAACCATATTTCTGGTCCATAAAATGCATGGATATAGCAATGACTGCAAACCGGCCTTCAATTAATTGGCAGTAATTTAAAAACTAATAGAAACTAAATATTTGTTCGGATTTTGACTTAAATAAGCAAAGGATATGTCATTTGAGAGGAAAAAGCCCTCAAAACTTTCAGACATTTAAAGATAACTCTTTAAAATTATGCCAAAAATGCATTAGTATTATCAGTGGATAAGTAGTTTTAAAACAGTGATTGACATTTCAATCAAAAATAAAAACATGAAAATTGATTAAATATTTTGCGCTTAAAAAATACTTTTGCTGTGAAGTTAACCGGAGATGAAATTTTGTGCGAAATTTTATGTCTATTTTCTTTAGACCCCTTTTATTATACAAATGGAAATAATTTTTATCTCAAAATATAAATTTTTAAGGAAATCCTGTGCTTTTATATTAGGCGTAAATATATCTCATAAAAGGCTCTAAAAATATCTTAGAAACAAAACAATTTTATTTCATACATTATTTCCAATTTGTTTAACAAATTCCTCTCTAAAATATATACAAGAATTAGTTTAAAAATATCCAAAAATGGTTTATGAAATATGAGATATTTAAAGGCATTGCGTGTGCATAACGTGAACTGAAAACTAGTTTTCTATCAGTTTTCATTAGTTTTGACACAAATCCATGATTTGTTTTTCAATTTGAAATTCTAAACCGCAATTAAAAGTAATGCAAATTTGTTTTTACCGTAAAATCCAATAAATTATTAAATATCGTATTGTTGTTAGTGTTATAGAAAGTTAATGGAAATAATAATTTATGGCTAATGTTAAGCAAAGCTCGTGAGGAATAACTTCAATAATCACATCAACAAAACTCCACGAATTGCATGTCAGAGGAGAACATGAGTCGTGAATAGTTATGATAATTACATAAATGCCATAATTAGTGGCTTATTATACAAACAAACATATGACTAGACGTTATTCAGAGAAATTAATGCAAAACCAAACAAAAAACAGATCCGTTTCTATAAATAACAATTATTACAAATTCTTATACTATTATAATTTATAAGTTAATTGTAATTAAGGCGCGAATAATCAGTTTAAATCTGATTTAATGCGAATCCATTCACTATTCTTTGAGGAGTACTTAATCGCTTCGATAACCTGTTGAATATAGAGTCCGTCCTCGAAATTGGCGGCCAAACTGACCGCCTCTTTAGCCCAATGAAAGATCTTCTCCTCATTTCGGAGACCATTGTCTCCATTAATCACTTCAGAGTCGGGCGAACACTGAAACGCGTTTTTCAGCGCCGATAGCATTCTCAAGAGACCACTTCCATAAGGTTTTGGCAAAATATTTTTGGCACTTAATGTGTGGTTGTTTTCACTCATGTCTTCGCTATCAGAGCAAAGGATTTCCTCTTTAGTTGAGGTGAGGGGTCGGCCGTAGAGATCGCCGGAACGGCACACGAGGTATCCCTTCGATCCGCAGATCAGTATTTCGTGAATAGATGTCCCGAAATAATGAGCATTTAGTGTCACATTAGCTATACTTAAACTGTTTCTCATTTCCATCTGAAATGTCACAAAATCATCAGAAGTTATTCTTCTTAAGCCAAACACTAAAATCAATCAAAATTAAAATAAGATTCAAATGTAATCGCAAATAATAGTCCCATTCATACCATTATCTTTGATCTGATGGTAGTTACGAACGCATCCGTTCACTCGTTTAGCTCTGAGGCCCGTAACAAATGAAATGATATCTATTATATGGGTTCCGACCGTTGATAACAATCCGCCGCCCATTAGATCGTCGCAAACAATTGAATAGTTGTCCAAACCTTAAGAAATAAAATCAATGTTTATTAACAAATCAGTGTTGAGTCAAACGCTTATAAACAATACCCTGAAGAGAGTCGCCGAAGACATTACAATTGATAACATTTATTTGGCCGACAAATCCGTCGGCAATTAATTTCTTCATTTTGATAAAAGAGGGCAAAAATCTCAATGTATTGAAGAGTATAGTAATAAGAGTGGGGTAATTGAGTGCCGCCCTCTTCATGGCCAACATCTGCGGCAAAGATAGAGCGGGCGGACAGTCGCACAACACGTGCTTTCCTATACCGCAGGCCTTAGTGGCGATCTGTTCGTGAAGATGTGGCGGACACGCGATCACTATGAGCTGAACCGACGGCTCCAACAACACCTTATCGATCACATCTGTGGCCAGTTTGATGTCCAGCTCGCGGGCCATCTCTTGCGCTGAGTATCTATTATATGGGTTCCGACCGTTGATAACAATCCGCCGCCCATTAGATCGTCGCAAACAATTGAATAGTTGTCCAAACCTTAAGAAATAAAATCAATGTTTATTAACAAATCAGTGTTGAGTCAAAAGCTTATAAACAATACCCTGAAGAGAGTCGCCGAAGACATTACAATTGATAACATTTATTTGTCCGACAAATCCGTCGGCAATTAATTTCTTCATTTTGATAAAAGAGGGCAAAAATCTCAATGTATTGAAGAGTATAGTAATAAGAGTGGGGTAATTGAGTGCCGCCCTCTTCATAGCCAACATCTGCGGCAAAGACAGAGCGGGCGGACAGTCGCACAACACGTGCTTTCCTATACCGCAAGCCTTAGTGGCATAGACAAGCACTTCTACACCGCCTGTGCGCTAGTGATACTCGACTTGGCTGCCGAGGTTGTTGTGGAATAGCTAGTGTAGACACCGGTCAAACTACAGGTCGAGCGCCCGGTAGAGAACGCGACTCACCAGACTATGAGACCAAATGGCCTCCACTTTGAAACCCTTAGCGCGAAGACACGCCACCAGAACGCGGACCAGTTGTCCGCCACCGAAGACACCGATTCCTGGAAGCATTGTCTCGTGTGGTGTCAGTGTTGGCGATGAGTACTGATGTGTTGTGTTGTTGTTGTTGTGATAGTGAAGAGCAGATCCAACACATGAGTAATGATTAGCGTAGAAGTCATGACTCAATCATCGCTTTATCGGACACTTTGTTGACAAACATTTCACACAAAACACTGCATTCTGTGTGACGTTCTGTTGGCAACCGTTGCACACACTCTGGCATAGANTAATGATTAGCGTAGAAGTCATGACTCAATCATCGCTTTATCGGACACTTTGTTGACAAACATTTCACACAAAACACTGCATTCTGTGTGACGTTCTGTTGGCAACCGTTGCACACACTCTGGCATACAGTCTGTCATAAGTAGACTCCACAACACGACCGCCCATTCAATGCATTCAATGCACTCCTCACTCACGCATGCGCTCAGCAGATGGCGCTCTCAACACGTATTGACGCGTTTAAAGCACTCGAAAGCGTGTTTTCAAAACTCATTTCACATGTATTTTGTGTTTTGCTTTTCAATCATTTGATTGTTAAATGTCTTCAATTATCACCCATTGATTACACATTGATTTCGTGTTCAGTTCTTCATAACTGACAAAAATGTCGGCAAAAGTGTTGAATAAAATCCGCGAACAACAGAATGAGGACGAGTTTGTGGCGTTTGACGAAGACTTGGATGACAACGGATCCGGTGGTGACAGTGACGACGAGACCAATCACTCACGACTTCTCACAGATATATCACTTCTCGACGAGAAGACAAAAAAGTCGCTCAAATGGAAAGC